GTGAAAAAATAATACATGCCATATTATGTTTTGAAGTGTTTAATTATATAAATTTGTCTTATGGCAAAATGTTGGGTTTTAAAAAATATATATTGAGATGATTTTTTAAATTTTACTTATTTTTTAAAGAGAAAATTGTTAGAAGCAAAAGTTATCTTTCATTCCATTGAATTATATCATCTCTTGACTCATGAACTTAAGTAGCTTTCCATTTGGCATTTAAAAATCAAAAGCCTCCCCACTCCCCACAACCCCCTCCCCCGCCCCCCAACTAACCTGGTGCTAATGTAAAATGTATTCAATTGTTTCCTACTAGTTGACTTAATTTGTTTCTTTTTGGTGTTGTTGTTAATCTTCATTCAAAGATATTTTTTTCCATTGTTTTTTTTTTAAAGGGAGGGAGGGAGTGGGGGGAGGGAGAGAGAGAGAGAGAGAGAGAGAGAGAGAGAGAGAGAGATTTATGTGGGAGACACATTGATTGGTTGCCTCTGGAATGTGCCCAGACACAGCCAGCTGGGATCAACCTGCAACCCAGGTACCAGGTATGTGCCCTTCACCAGGAATTGAGGCCCTTTGGTGCATGGGCTGACACTCCAACCACAGAGCCACACCTGCCAGGGCTAGCTGACTGAATTTGATAATGCCATTGTTACTTATGATTTCAAAGATGAATTAGGAAAAATGTTTTATTATGTTCTCTAAAATATACAGACATTCATTTGGTTGTATTATATTTAACTAGGTATATCTTGACTTGGATTGATTTTGAAAAATTCATATCACAATCATTCCTTTTTAAAAAAACTCTCTTAAAGCAGTTTTATGATGGATATGATTTTTGGTACTATTCACAATAAGGATAAAGAAAATAAAATACATATGCAGTAACTTTCGGTATTTAAAAATTAGGACTCAGAATGAATTATGCAAGGGGGGGGGGGTGTTGGATTTCCAAAGGTAAATATAAAAAGATAGTGTAAGCAGTAACTAAAGAAAAATTATTCATTACATTAATTGAAATACTTAGTAACAAGAAGATTCCATCTTGACAGTGTATGCAGTCAAAGCATTAAAATTAACTGAAGTCATACTTTCATTTGCATCCAGAAACTTGAGTATGGATGAATGAGTCACTTGTAATTATAACATAGTATCCAAAACAGGAACTGAGGATTTTTAAAATCCAAGCAACCTTAGAATAAACACACACCCAGCTTGGGATGGAATGAAAAATCCAAGAGTTATGTAACAGCAATGTTAGACTTTCAACATCCTTATCATCACTCTCTAGATTTATATGCATACTTTCCTTCTGGGTAAACTTTACTGATTCTCCTAAAAAATGTTCACTAAAAAAGATTTAGGAATTTCTTTAAAGATTGAATCACCATAGAAATTCTATAAAATAAAAGCTTAATATGCCACTTGATCAAACTGTCGCTATGACATGCACTGATCACCAGGGGGCAGACACTCAATGCAGGAGCTGCCCCCAGCCTGTAGGCCCCAGGCCAGCCAAGGTGGGTGCCAGCTGGGGCCCCCCAATATATTTATGTATTTGAAAGGAAAAGGAAGCAAGGGAAATATAAACAAATTAAATCCAAAGTAAGTAGAAGAAAGGAAATATTAAAAGAGCAAAAATCAGAGTTAACACATTGCGGATGGATCCCGAGAATTTTCACTTCATATTACACAGTGTTTTACAAAGTATACTTTAAAAAGATATTAGCTTGTAAGAACATGTAATAAATAACTTCAAAATGCAATGGGTATTTAATTTTAAAGGGTGCCTTTAACATTTATGTAAAACTAGAGGTCCGGTGCACAAAAATTTGTGCACTTGGGGGAGTCCCTCAGCCCAACCTATGCCCTCTTGCAGTGTGGGACCTCTTGGAGGATGTCCACCTTCTGGCTTAGGCCTGCTCCGTGGGGGATCGGGCCCAAGCTGGCAGTCAGACATCCCTCTGGCAGCCCGGCAGCCCTTGGGGGATGTCCACTTACCAGCAGGGAGCAGACCTAAGCTGCAGTTGGACATCCTTAGTGCTGCTGAGGAGGCGGGAGAGGCTCCCGCCACCACTGCTGTGCTGGCAGCCATCAGCCTGGCTTGTGGATGAGCAGAGCTCCCCCTGTGGGAGTGTACTGACCACCAGGGGGCAGCTCCTGCATTGAGCATCTGCCCCCTGGTGGTCAGTGTGTGTTATAGTGACCAGTCATTCCCAGTCGTTCTGCTGTTAGGGTCAATTTGCATATTGCCCTTTTATTATATAGGACAGCCGTGGGCAAACTACGGCCCGCAGGCCGGATCTGGCCTGTTTGAAATGAATAAAACTAAAAAAAAAAAAAAAAAGACCGTACCCTTTTATGTAATGATGTTTACTTTGAATTTATATTAGTTCACACAAACACTCCATCCATGCTTTTGTTCCGGCCCTCCAGTCCAGTTTAAGAACCTATTGTGGCCCTCGAGTCAAAAAGTTTGCCCACCCCTGATATAGGATGTTTTTTTTGTACTCATTCAATAGAAACTTATCTGGCCAGTATGTAAAGCTAGCAATAAAACTCTGGTCCATCATGTGTTAACAAAGCCAAAAGTTGGTTCTTTGAGAAGATTAAGTTAAACTTCTAGCAAAACTGGATGAAAAGAGAAAACACAAATTATCCTTATCAGAAATGAAATGGGGAATGTTGTTACAGATCTTACAGACATTAAAAGGATAATACGGAATATTATGGACAACTTTAAACCAATAAATTACATGAAGTCAATGCATTCCTTGAAAAATATAGCCTACTAAAACTGATATAGATGAAATAGAAAATCTGAATAGCTTTATATCAAAGAAATGTATTATCAAAAATCTTTCTACAAAAGAAAACTCTAAGGTTCAGATGGCTTCATTGGTGAGTTCTAACATACATTTAAGGAAGAAAAAGCTTTAATTCTACACAGACTTTTAGAAAACGGAAAAGGGAATACTTCTCAATCTTTTTTTACAATTGAGGTAACATTGGTTTATAACATAAGTTTCAAGTGTACAATATTATACTCGATATCTATACTATAGCATGCTCACCATCAAAAGTATCATGTCGCCCTAACCGGTTTGGCTCGGTGAATAGAGCGTCGGCCTGTGGACTGCAGAGTGCCAGGTTTGATTCCGGTCAAGGGCATGTACCTTAGTTGCAGGCACATTCCCAGTGGGGGGTGTACGGGAGGCAGCTGATCAATGTTTCTAACTCTCCATTCCTCTCTTCCTCTCTGTAAAAAATCAATAAAATAAGTTAAAAAAAAAGTATCATGTCGGCTGCCGCTATTTGAAGCCCAGCGGCTGCTCCGCTTCGTGCTGCTGCCAACACTCCGGCCCGAGAACCCCCGGGAGGCCGACTCACTATCATGGATACTCTGTCCGAAGCAAATGACACTTTTGCCATAAATCTTTTGAAAAAGCTGGGTGAAGACAAATCAAAAAACATTTTTCTCGCCATTCAGCATCTCCTCTGCCCTGGCCATGGGGGCAGGTGGAGACACTGCGGCCCAGATAGTCCAGGCACTTTATTTCAGTAAAAGTGGTGGCAGAAGTGATGTCCACCAGGGCTTCTAGACGCTCCTCGCTGAGGTTAACAGGGCTGGCACGCAGTACTTGCTTAGAACTGCCAACAGGCTCTTCGGAGAAAAGTCCTTTGATTTCAACTTATCTTTCAAAGATTCCTGCCTCAAATTCTACCAAGCAGAGATGGAAGAGCTTGACTTCTTCAAAGCTGCAGAGGAGGCTAGAAAACATCAACATCTGGGTAGCTAACAAGACAGAAGGTAAAATTACAGAGTTGCTGCCTCCAAATTCAGTTAATCAAAGTACTCCTCTGGTTCTTGTGAATGCCATCTACTTCAAAGGAAACTGGGACAGCCAGTTTAGCAAGCACCAAACCCAGGAGAGACCATTTAAAGTTAGCAAGAATGAGCAGAAACCTTTGCAAATGATGTTTAAAAAATCTACCTTTAATATGACCTATGTCGGAGAAATATTCACCAAAATTCTGGTGCTGCCGTACGTCGGCAAAGAGCTAAACATGATCATCATGCTTCCTGATGAATATGTCGACCTGGAAACGGTGGAAAAGCAGCTCACCTATGAGAAATTCGTAGAATGGATCAGGCCAGATATGATGGATGAAGAAGAGGTGGAAGTGTGCCTCCCTAGATTTCAAACTGGATGAGAATTACGACATGAAGGATGTCCTTTACTCTATGGGCATGACCGATGCCTTTGAGCAGGACAAGGCTTCTCTGGAATGTCGTCAGGGAGAGACCTGTGTCTGTCCTTTGTGGAGGTCAATGGGGAAGGCACAGAGGCTGCGGCCGCCACTGCCGGCATCATGCTCCTTCTATGTGCAAGAATCACGCCCAGGTTCTGTGCTGACCACCCCTTTCTTTTCTTTATGCAGCACAGCAAAACCAACGGTATTCTGTTCTGTGGCCGATTCTCCTCCCCTTAGGAAAATGGTCGACACTGCCTGTAGCCCTTCTCCTGTCTCCTGCTGACCCACTTTCCTCTGGCACTTCACAGTGTGCCTGAACCTAACAATAAAGGGCCTAGTTTTGAAGTTCAAAAAAGAAAATAAGTATCATGTCCATCCGTTACCATACAGTTGGCTTCCTTTACCCATTTCCTCTTCTCTGGTAACCACCAATCAGTTATCCATATCTATGAGGGTTTTTTTGGTTTTTGTTTGTTTATTTTTTTAATAGTCCATATATGATTTTTGTCCTTTTTTTTAAAAAATATTTTTATTAATTTCAGAGAGGAAGGAAGAGGGAGAGATAGAAACATCAATGATGAGAGAGAATCATTGATTGGCTGCCTCCTGCACGCCCCCCCACTGGGGATCGAGCCCACAACCCGGGCATGTGCCCTTGACCAGAATCGAACCTGGGACCCTTCAGTCTGCAGGCTGACGCTCTATCCACCGAGCCAAACCGGCTAGGGCCTTTTTTTTCTCTTTTAAATATGAAACACTTCACGAATTTGCATGTCATCCTTGCACAGGGCCATGCCAATCTCTGTATTGTTCCAGTTTTAGTGTATGTGCTGCCGAAGCGAGTGCTAATTTTTGTCCTTTTCCATCTAACTTATTTCACTTAGCATAACACCTGTTGCAAATGGCAGTGTTTCATCTTTTTAAAAAAATTATTATTTTTTAATCTTTATTGTTGAGAGTATTATAGATGTCCCCTATTCTTTTCCCCCTCCACCTGGCTCCCACCCTGCCCCAGGCCTTCACCACCATTTTATCTGTGTCCATAGGTAATGCATATATACATATAAGATCTTTGGTTAATCTCTTCCCGACCCCTTACTGCCCCCCTTCCCTCTGAGATTTGTCAGTCTATTCCATGTTTCCATGCCTCTAATTCTAATTTATTCAGTTTATTTTGTTCATTAGATTTCTTCATTTATTTTGATTTTTAGATTCAATTGTTGATAGGATATGTGTTGCCATTTTATTGTTCATATCTTTTATCCTACTCTTTCTCCTCCTCGCTACCCTCCTCCTCCTCCTTTGCCTATTCCTTTTACTCCTCCTCTCCCTTCTCTTCCTCCTCCTTTTCCTTCCTCTCCCTCCTCCTCTTCCCTGTCGTCGTCCTCCTCCTCCTCCTCCTTTTCCTTCTTCTTTCTTCCTCTTTTTAAAGAATACCCTTAAACATTTCATGTAATACTGGTTTTGTGGTGATGAACTCCTTTAGCTTTTTCTTGTCTGTGTAGCTCTTTATCTGACTTTCAATTCTAAAAGATAGCTTTGCTAAGTAGACTAATCTTGGTTTTGTAGTTCCTTGCTATTCATCACTTTGAATATTTCTTGCCACTTCCTTCTGGCCTACGAAGTTTCTGTTGAGAAGTCAGCTGACAGTCAGATGGGCGCACCCTTGTAGGTAGCTAACTGCTTTTCTCTTGCTGCTTTTAACACATTGTATGCGGGAAACGTATTTATACGTTTTACATATTTATACGCTCTACCAGTGTAGTAGAGCGCGGGACACGTATTATTACGTTTTTTATAGATTAGCGGTAGAATGCGGGTAATGTATAAATACGTAAACTAAAGTTATCGTAATTTTACTGAACATTGCCATTTGCGCAAAAAATTAGCAAAAATGGCCCACGCCACCTGTTAGCGCGCGATAAAAACTACCCACAAACAATGTGTTAAGATTCTCTATCTTTAACCTTTGGCATTTTCATTATGATGTGTCTTGGTGTGGGCCTCTTTGGTTTCCTCTTGTTTGGGTCTCTCTGGGCTTCCTGGACTTATAAGTCTATTTCTTTCACCAGGTAGGGGAAGTTTTCTGTCATTATTTCTCAAATAGGTTTTTAATATCTTGCTCTCTCTCTTCTTCTGGCACCCCCATAGTGAGAATGTTGGTACGCTTGAAGTTGTCCCAGAGCTCCTTACACTATCTTCAGATTTTTGGATTCCATTTTCTTTTTGCTCTTCTAATTGGGTGTTTTTTTGCTTTCTTATATTCCAAATTGCTGATTTCATTCTCAGCATCCTCTACTCTACAAAAGAACCCTTGTAAACTGTTCTTTATTTCAGTTAGTGTATGCTTAATTTCTGACTGGTCCTTTTCATGCCTTTGACATTCTCATTAAGATCCTTGAAATTTTCATGAAGATCCTTGAGTACCCTGATAACCATGGTTTTGAACTCTGTAATCCAGTAGTTTGCTTGCTTCCATTTCTTTCATTTGTGACATGCCTCTTTGTCTCTGCATTTTGGCTGCTTCCCTGTGTTTGTTTCTATATATTAGGTAGAGAGGCTGTGTCTCCTGGATTTGATGGAGATACCTTGTGTAGTAGGTATCTTGTTGGGCCCAGTGGCCGAGCCTCTCCAGTCACCTGAACTGCGCACTCTAGGTGCACCCCTGTGTGGGCTGTGTGCACAGTCCTGTATTTGAGCCCTGATTGTTATTGGCATCACTGGGAGGACTTGACCTTTTAGCCAACTGGCTGTGAGAACCAGCTGAGACTACAGTAGAAGAACTGCTGTGCAGGACACACCGCTATGGAGCAGGACTTGCTTTGTTGCTCACTGAGTCTGAGTCTGCCCCTTGAGATGTGTAGAGTTGTAATCTGGTGTGGTCTGAAGCCATCCCCTGGGTGCACTGGCTCTGGGGCCTCCTGGGAGGTGCAAACTCAGCCACTGCCTGGAACCACCCGGCAGGAGCTACAGAGTGATCTGAAGATGGCTGTTACTTACGTTGGGTGTGGAAGTGCCCAGGAGAGGCCAAGTTGTGAAGCAAGGCAGGCTGGTGCTAGTGCCAGTCTTGGGCTTCTTATTGATAGGTATGGGGTATGCTGATGCCAGCTGATGCTTGTTTGAGAGATTTTAGAAAAATCTGAAGCCTGGGCTAGGACAGGCCATTCATATCTGCAAACAGCTTGGATAGAGCTGCAAATTGGGTGGGGTGGGGTCTCAGGGAATCACTAGGGTGGAGGAACAGTGTGGGCCACACTGATGGAAACTCAGATATGGCTGCCGGTCAGCTCTGCAACAGTGGAGGCCCCAGCACAGGAACAGTGACCCCTGTGAACACTTCCATCTGGGAGAAAGCTGCCCCTGAGTTCCTGCCCTGATGCCAGACAATCCAGTTCCTCCCTGTATGTCCCTGGATCCCCCAAAGTTGCCACCCAGCGCTGGAGCTCAGAGGAAGGGGAACCATGTAAGAACTGCCTCGACTCCAGCTACCTCCATGCCACTCAGCCATAATCCCTACTGAATTTTACAGCCTGAAGTTACAGGGACTTCTCTTCCCCAGCTCTGGAACCCTGAGCTGGGGGTCTGGTGTGATCCTGGGACCCCTTGCTTCTCACAGGAGGCCTCTGTAGCCGAGATATCCCTTGGATTGAAAAAAATAAACACCACATGTGGATGTTGGACCATCCCATTCTATGCCTCCACCCCGCCTACCAGTCTTGATGTACTTTCTTTACTTCTCTAGTTGTAGGACTTCCATTCAGCCAGATTTCAGGCAGTTCTAAATGATGGTTGTTCTGTATTTTAGTTGTAATTTTGGTGTGGTTGTGGAAGGTGGTGAGCATGTGCCCTGATGGGGAATCAAACCAGCAACCTCTTGGTGCATGGGACAGTGCTCAACCAATGATGCCACACTAGCTAGGGCTCATCTCTTTTTTTGGGGCAGGGGGGTACTTCCCCGGGAAGCCAGGTGATGCCAGGTGCCCGAACACGGGCTGTGGCCACTGTGTGCCCCTGGGGGTGGCTGCCGAGCCCCCGAGCAGGCCCAGGAGGATCAGCAGCCTTTGATCTGTTTGTCCAACAGCCGGTCCTGCCCTCAGTGTCCTGCCCCTGGAATTCTGGGAATCGACCCGGTGACTCCTGTCGGCCCAGATTGCGAGGCAGGGAGGACAGGACAGTCCAGGAGCCAGGGCTGACCTGGTGGGATGCCAGCACTGGGGACAGATCCTGCTCTGCCCCTCGCCCTCCACCTTCATGTTTCCTCCCCAGGGTGTGAGTGTGGTTGCCCAGGTCTCCATGACACCACAGGAATGGAGGAACGCACCCACCCCCTGTTTCTCTCTGCCCCGCAGGGCTCATCTTTTTATTTAACTTACTTTTTTTTATAACAAAGTAGTAGTACCATTTTTATTTTTATTTTTTATGAGAACAGTGTTACTAAAATACCAAAATGGGCCAAAGACATTCTAAGAAAGTAAGATATCAATATACATTATGAACATAGATGCAAAAATTATTAACCTATTAGCTAATTGAATCCAGCATATATAAAGAGCGTAAAAATAATATGACCATGTAGAGTTTATCTCAGAATGCAGGTGGGTTTAACATTAAAAGTTAATTACTACAGTCCACCATATTAACAGAATAAAGGAAGTATGGGAGCATAGATACAAAATTAGGAAGTCATGGGGTACAGAAAATAGATCCAACATAGGAGAGAGATGAAAGGTATGCCCAAGATAAGGAGAGGAGTCCCAGGAAGACTCTTTCCAGAGTAGAGCCACAGATGTAGGGCTCCAGGAGCAAGATTCCGTGGGGAAAAGTTAGAATTGTGGGCTTATGTATAAGTTTGTCAAATGTGGAATGATATATTTGGAGGCCATTGGAGTGGGTTGTTTAGCCGATGATAGAAAGAAAACTATCATCACACTATCATAAGCAATAAAAACTCAAGATTATTATAATATTAGGAGAAAAGGAAATGCTTTTCAAGAAGAGAATCATAATCAGAGCATAATACATGGTTTTGCAGTTAAAAATGTTTACAGAATTGCCTTGACCAGGTAGCTGAGTTGGTTAGAGCATCATCCTGATACACCAAGGTTCTGGGTTTGATCCCCAGTCAGGGCACATACAAAAATCGATCAATGAATGCATAAATAAGTGAAACAAATCTCTCTCTCTCTCTCTCTCTCTCTCTCTAAATTTTAAAGAATATTTACATAATTATAATAATGGAAACATGACAATCATGGTGCTTATCCAGACATGGTGCTAACAACTCTAGTGGTTGGTTGGTTTGGGAGGGAGGTTAAGAGAGCCAAATACTCATCTTGTATGTCTTGATAAATCAAGACAACGTACTAGAAATATTGCTTAGAAAGGTAAATATCAAAAGAAAGCAAAAAGGACAAAGGGACTGAAGAATGTGGAATAGATAGAAGTGGAGCAAGAGCTGCTATTTATATTAAATCTTTAAGTACTATTTAATTTTAAATTATAGATAACTGATAAAAAGTAATTTAAAAGTAATTTAATTTTAAAGTTTTAGTAGCTGATTTTATGTTTTGTTTTTAATATGTTTTTATTGATTTTAGAGAGAGAGGAAGGGAGAGATAGAAACATTGAGAGAGAGAGACATGGATTGGCTGCCTCCTGCACGCCCCTGACTGTGGATCAAGCCAGCAACCCTGGCATGGGCCCTGGCCAGGAATGGAACTGGTGACCTCTTGGTTCCTGGGTTGATGCTCAACCACTGAGCACCACTGGACGGGCTAAAAGTAATCGACTTTAAAACATGTCCCCTGTAGAGAAAGCAAATAATACAAATAGAACAGTATGTATAT